AAGAAAAATGTGATAAGGGGCCTTAAAAATGTTGATGTTCAGGTCATAAGGTCCTGATAACTCCCTCATTTGCCTAAGAATCGGCTGGTTCAACTGATTCACATGGCACTTCTTTCTTTTTTTTATCCTTTTTTAAAATACTGCTTGGTACTATTTATGGATTAAGCCCACCTTGTTTTTCCTCTTCTATTTTTGATTTACCAATCAATACAATGAAAGCTTCAGATTTTTATTATTGCCTTCTTTAAGAGAATGCATCTGCAGCCTTTTAAATCAACTATGCTACTATGCATATCCTTTCAATGCGTATTGACTAGTGTCGAACAAACTAAGCCTTATGCACAATTTGAAGAGTTCTAGTGTTTTATGCCTTTTCCACACATATTCACTCACTAATTTCATTCCCTTTTTTTTTTGAGGCCACTGCCTGAACTTTTCAAAAGCAAGCAATGAAGGAAACGCTTGATGCTCTTCACTGTAACACAGTGTTCATTTACTTGGCTCTGGCTCGGGTCGCATCACCTGCCCGGGCCAAGTAGCTCGAATGAGTTCATTCGGACACCCAAGGTCACAAAAGGCTCGGGAAACATCATAACTATCAGGGAAAATCCCAAAAATTCAAAAAATTTGAATAATTAAAAAAGTAGCAGAAAAATTCATAAGAACTAAATGCTAATATTTTCAAAAAAAGAAAAATTCAAAAGGACTAACATGCTTGAAGCTAATTAGAAAAAATATAATCAAGCTGTTAGAGATAGAAAGTGAGATTAGAGAATTTGGGGTTCTCTGAGTAGGAGAGAGAGGGAGAGAGAGATTAGGGCATTTGGGGTCAGCCATGAAGGACTCATCTCACTGCTCCTCGGTCTTCTCTGAGTAGGAGGAGCACTGGTGGCAGCCATTTTCATTGTCAATGGTCGTGATAAACTTATCATCATTGTTGACGGAGGGTTCTGTGATAATCCCTTCTCCACACACCACTTTCACGGTGCATGGATCAATTGATGGCCAATAACTTATGTCCAACCAGAGATTCTTATAGAGAGAAGCTTCAACAAAAAAAGGTTCTTATGGAGAGAGACCCATCAATGGGACTAATCAACTGTTGAGAGAGAGAGGTAGGGTTTTTGAGGATGAATTTGCATGAGCTATGGTTTGAAGTTTTAGTAAGGGGCAAATCTAGGTTTTTTAAAGGAAGTTGCAGTGCCAGATAGAGAGACAGGGTTTCTTAAAGGGAGTTGCAGAGCTACAGAGACAGAGAGAGAGAGAGAGAGAGAGAGATGAAACACAGGGAGTGGATTTCACCCCCCCCTTTATATTTTGTTTCGACAACTGTGGAGACTCACCTGAGTACTGTTGATCTCAGGAAAGTCTGCCCGAGTTCTACAGCACTCATGCTGAGTTTGTACAGTAGTTTCCCAAGTATGGTACAGGTACCTCACCGCTGATTAGGGACAATTTACTCATTTCGGCGGGGTATGGAGGACAAGTAACTCGGCCGAGTCTGAGTCAACTCAGCTGAGTTTTCAGACACTGCTCTAACCAAACTTGGGAACTAATAGATCTGTCTCCCACAAAACACCAATTGGTTGCAAGCAGACATATCCAATTGAAAGTTAGTGAAGGTTGGATATATGATGCCTGCCATACTCACAAGAGAATGGCATTAGTCATAAGGAGATATTTCCCAAATTGCAAATGACCACTATAAGGACTGCTGTGGCTTTGGCAGCTGCAAAGTGAAAGTCATATTTGATGACCAATGAGAAGATTTACTAAGGCGATCACATATTTCTTGGCCATCTCTCACATTTGGAAGAGAACAGAAATACAATATTACTGGTAATTCTGATATCAAGGCCAAGCATGAGATAATCAGTAATGTATTCTATGAGCAATGAATATATTGGATGTGTGCTCATCTTTAGGATATCAGCATATTTTTAACTTATTCCCCATCCCTCTCATTTAACAACCTCAATTATTTATCCATTGCCTCTAATCCATATTTCTCATTGGCACACCAATCACATAAATGTTAAATGCAACCTTTCTAGACCAGAGATTTGTTTAAGCCATAGCCTCCAAGAACCATTTGTTTCCCGCCTACAAACTATTCCTCAATGACATTGGATAGGGATTGGCACCATGGCGGGGGTGTTAGATTTTTTATTCTTTTAAAAAAAAAATTTATTGACACGGCAAGATTATGTATATAATTATGCATTCTTGTCACTGTAGGGGCAATTTTGGCATTTTATATCTTATATTCTCCATATGTCCTAGCATAAGAAACTTTGATTTCATACATGATAGCCCCAAGAAAGGAGAGGCTAGCTTGTCTATCCTGAATCTAGTTGCTGTGAGAAGAGGTTAGGTGATCGCCTCGCCTAAGCAAGAGATGATCACCGCATTGCACCCATGTCCGTGTCTATATAACATCGTAGGAGACATCTATCCATAATATTACAGCATTTGATAAGGCGAACCAAACCAGACTCTTTTCAGGGAAGTATGTAAGGCCACACATGCAGGAAGAACCTACAAAGTCCTCAATGGCTTTCTATTTGTTGCACACGTATAGCAAACTCAGGATAGCATTGGCATCTAGTAAAAATGGTGCAAAATACGATTTGAGAACTCCCAGCATTAGATTTGAGAAGGTGGCAAGAAAACAAATTATGTTCGTGGATCATGCAAAGAAATGCATTATGGTACAAGAAAACCATAGATATTTACTGAAAGGCCCAATTTGCTGGATGACAGGCAATTCATAGTTGAATTAACAAGGAAGTGCTAAAGAGATTTAAATAAATGATGACATGAGAAAAATACCAATAACCAAGTAACTAGCAACACCAATTCAAATACATATAGCAATAAGAAAACTAAAATAAATGACAAATGATGATCATCACTACACCCATTCATAAACTATGAGGGACATTTGGAAATTCTTAAAGAACAGAGAATGGGCAGACAAAAGATGTTAGTTTATGAACTAGATAATCATCACAGATGATTACCAAATGTAGGAGATACTTCATCAGAAAAGAGGGAAAAGAAAAAGGAAAAGCATTTAATAGAAATCGAGTCATTATGAACCTTACAAACATACAAGCTATACAAACTGGTCATAAGCTTATAGGACAGCATGTAAATTTGACATTGACAAGAAACAAAGACTCAAAGTTAAAACCTGCAATATCTGAAGTTACTTGTGATATAATCAAACCAATAGCATAAAAATAATAAATGAGTATGAACGAAAGAAAGTTTAGGCTCTTCACAGAATTAGTATTCATTACGGGTGAATTCCTTAATGTGGTCAAAAGGCTTAGAAGAGGACCTAAAATCTGTGGAGATTAAGGCAACCTCCTTGACTCCATTGGTTAATTTTGTCGAGATTTCATATTTTTTTCTTCATTGACCAAGTTCTAATTGAATCAGATACTCAGGCCAATGTGGTAAAGATTGTAGGGTTTTTTTATAATTGTTGAAGGAATTGACTGACTCATATAGTCAAAGCCAATGCTGCCGCTACAGTAGAATGGTTGGGTTGTATAATTCTTTGTTGTAGGCATCAAAGGAATATTAAAAATTTACAATAGTCTATTTATGTTTTGATGAAAGCAATGTTTTAAAGTGAGGGCTCGGGTCAGGACTTGCAAAGATCCCAAGCCAAGGATATGACACTCGACTTGGCCGAGTCCTAAAAAAAATTAACAAGGAAATATTGAAAACTGGTGAGACTGTGCAGGCGCCCATGGTTTTGGTTCCAGACTTAGCAGCCTTGTGAGTCCAAGTAACTCAGGCAAGTCCTAGCCGGACTCGCCGAGTATACAGCCGCTGGATGAAAGTAATACATTCAAAACACAACGGAAATGATGAGTATGGCCCTACCAAGTATGCCCAAAACATAGAATGAACCTAATTTTTTTCATTACTCATAAAAGTCCAATAAATAATAAGGCACCATCATGAATGTAACCTCACATAAACAAGGATAATTTTAAAATTAATTAGACATAAGTAAACTGCCGAAGGAAGCAAAAGCAAGGAAAATAAACAGTAAATCAAGAAATGCTAAAAGCAAAAGGGACAAAAAGGAACATTACAATTTACAGAATGAAATATATCTTCACCAGTACAATAGATTAACAACATCAACTCAATCAACTCTCAACAGAGAGAGAGAAAGAGAGAGGAATTACCTCAAATACCATAGAAAATCAGATCAAAACTACATTTTCTGCACAGGCCCCCATAACGAAAACAGTAAAAGAGGTAATATAAAGTACCCAAAATGCATAAAACCACAAAAAATTGAAAAATCAGAGAGAAATGCCAGCCCACAAGACTACCTCAACCAAAATGAACACCACCCAGGATACCAAAACCAGTAAGAAGTAAAGAGATCCCAACAGAGAGAGAGAGAGGAGGAGAGGAGAGAGAGAGAGAGGAGGAGAGAGAGAGAGAGAGTAGGT